GGGAAGGGGGCAACTCAGGCTTGGGAAACTGGCATTAGGAAAAGGTCCCAGGGCCTACGATGGGGCATGTAATCCTCACCCATGGCTGAATAAGCTTGTCTGAGGGACGGGGTCAGGGCAGTTTTCTGTCCTCATGTAGGGGTAGAGACTTTCCCATTATGGAAGCCCAGGGTGTATGTTTTGGGGAACAGTGAGGGGAAAGTTGTTGGGGCTCAGGCTGGGCTAGACCTGGGCCTAATGGCCACTCAGCTAGAGGACAGTTTTCAGTCTGGACTAAGTCATTTCAAGTAGGGCGTTGCTGTGAAATACTTGGAGAGGGAACAGGGCACTCTTGTCTTCATTTCCGCTCGATACAGTCAACTCCCAGTGTGTTGTCAGGGCAGCGGCAGGTCCTGCTCCCTGGGGTGGCCAAGCAGAGGTGGGTGCAGCCTCCATTGTTCACTGAGCAGTAGTTGTGGCCTGAAAAAGCAGAAATCTGTTCAATGGCCTCCTCTGTGACCTGACTCAAAAGCCACCTAACAGAGTAGCTTCTTTATTACCCACCTTTTTGGATTTTATGAGACCTAGCTTGTGAGGACTCCAGGAGGACAGGGAACACTGCAGTAGACACTCAGTTATGCTGATCTATTGTTTGTTTGCTCATCATTAAACCAGACAGGCAAAAACACCAATTCCCAATTTGGGGGCTATGCAGATTTACCATTAAAGCTGTTAAACAGATCTCAGGAAGGTTCTTTCTCCAGCTCTGATTATAACATGGAGTTGGAATTTTAAAGCGCTAAGTACTCTCTATCTGGCCTGCATTCCTGGCTTCACACTGACTGGGGGAGAGGAGGGAGGAAAGAGAAAAAGAAAAGTGGCTTAGGAGAGTGGCCTTCGGGAGACAGCATAGCAGGGACATGGATGACCTGCAGCTCTGTGAGACTTTGAGCAAATCACTTCAGTTTCCTTATTTATCAAATGGACATAATAACAGTATGTGCCTCATACTGCTGTGAGGATTAGATGAGCTAATGAATACAAAGCACTTGAACTCCAAGGGAGTTGAAGTACCTAGCTTACAGTAAGTGCTGCATAAATGCCTGCAATTCTTTTTTATTGTTGCAGCAAAGATCCTAACATTAATGTTCCCTTTGGAACCCAAAGACCATATACTTCTTCTAGACTCAAGACTTACTCAAGACTCAGAGCTTTTCCTCACCTGCCCACTCCACACCCTAATGCTTTCTATGTATTTATCTGGCTTGCTCACTCAATATTGAAGACCTTTGATGGATGGGACTGCATCTCTCCTGCAGTGTGATCGGGGCTACCTACGGGTATACAGGTAGCAGCCAGAGTGTGGGCTCTGAGCCTCAGGGTGCCCCCAACCACCCCCGCAGTAACAGCCCAGGCGAGTCACCTTGGGGACACTGAGACAGGGCAATGGTGATGCCATACAGCCGGCTCTGCTTGTGGGGGTGGAAGGCATCCATCTCTCTGGAAATAGCAAGATCGGCAGCAACCACAGAATTCCTACAAAGCACCAAGGGGCAGGAGGTAAAAACACATCTGATGCCTTGAACTCTTCTCTACGGGGCAATCCCTTTTGTAGTTTGGGGGATAAGTTGGCAGTCACAAACAGACATGGTGGCTTTGTGTCCTAGACATCCCTCCCTCCTCCTGGGGTGGGTCAAGTCTGCATTTCTCTGCTTTCTTTAAAAAAAAATAAAGATCAGCTAGCTCTCTCCTCCCGCTCTCAATACCAGGCGGGAAATGGGCTTTCTGTCCAGCTGCCGCTGGCAGCTGCCTCCTTCATTTAACCCCTCCTGGTGCAGGAAGGGCTGGTCAGGAAGGGGCTGTGGCAATATTGCAGTTCAAGGAGTGCAGGAGCATGAAGTGGGCATGGAGCCCACCAGCCAAGGGACCCTAGGCCAGCTCCTGGGGAAGAACAGACATGCTCAGGAAGTCCACGTTTACAGACTTGAAACTGCCCCACCAGGAGCGTCCAGATGGTAAATGGCACCCCCGTGCTCCCCAGGAACCCAGCCTCCCTCCTCCACCCACCTCTCCCAGTCCACGTTTACAGACTTGAAACTGCCCCACCAGGAGCGTCCAGATGGTAAATGGCACCCCGTGCTCCCCAGGAACCCAGCCTCCCTCCTCCACCCACCTCTCCTGCCTCCTGACAACCAGAAGGGTGGGGGACAGGGGACATCTCTGGAGGCATGAAGGTCAAGCCAAGAGGCCAGATTGGGGGGGTTGGCCTCCCAGGGACAGAGAGAGTGGGAGGGCAGGCCTGCCAGCCCTGCAGTGGCAGGTGACATACGTCTGCCAGTCTGTATAGTACAGATTCTTCCCGTAGCTCGTCACAGCAAAGGGATACTGGAGCCCTTCGAGAACCTTGCGTCTGCTGGGCTGAGCGGGGTTCAGGCATTCTGCCCGATGGGTGCCTGCGTGGAGCGAAAACAAGTCATTCATTGTCCATGCAAGAAATGAGCCCTTTGTGTCAACACCCAAGAGGAACGAGGGCAAGGGTGGGAGAAATTCAGCGTTACGATGACAAATCCTGGAGAACACAAGGCTTGCTCTTAAGCGTTGGACAGCTGTCTGTCCCTCCTGTCTGGCCCCTTTCAACATCAGCACCCGCCTCCGTGCTGGCTCCTGCACCTGGTTCTGCTGGGNCATGGTGGCTTTGTGTCCTAGACATCCCTCCCTCCTCCTGGGGTGGGTCAAGTCTGCATTTCTCTGCTTTCTTTAAAAAAAAATAAAGATCAGCTAGCTCTCTCCTCCCGCTCTCAATACCAGGCGGGAAATGGGCTTTCTGTCCAGCTGCCGCTGGCAGCTGCCTCCTTCATTTAACCCCTCCTGGTGCAGGAAGGGCTGGTCAGGAAGGGGCTGTGGCAATATTGCAGTTCAAGGAGTGCAGGAGCATGAAGTGGGCATGGAGCCCACCAGCCAAGGGACCCTAGGCCAGCTCCTGGGGAAGAACAGACATGCTCAGGAAGTCCACGTTTACAGACTTGAAACTGCCCCACCAGGAGCGTCCAGATGGTAAATGGCACCCCGTGCTCCCCAGGAACCCAGCCTCCCTCCTCCACCCACCTCTCCTGCCTCCTGACAACCAGAAGGGTGGGGGACAGGGGACATCTCTGGAGGCATGAAGGTCAAGCCAAGAGGCCAGATTGGGGGGGTTGGCCTCCCAGGGACAGAGAGAGTGGGAGGGCAGGCCTGCCAGCCCTGCAGTGGCAGGTGACATACGTCTGCCAGTCTGTATAGTACAGATTCTTCCCGTAGCTCGTCACAGCAAAGGGATACTGGAGCCCTTCGAGAACCTTGCGTCTGCTGGGCTGAGCGGGGTTCAGGCATTCTGCCCGATGGGTGCCTGCGTGGAGCGAAAACAAGTCATTCATTGTCCATGCAAGAAATGAGCCCTTTGTGTCAACACCCAAGAGGAACGAGGGCAAGGGTGGGAGAAATTCAGCGTTACGATGACAAATCCTGGAGAACACAAGGCTTGCTCTTAAGCGTTGGACAGCTGTCTGTCCCTCCTGTCTGGCCCCTTTCAACATCAGCACCCGCCTCCGTGCTGGCTCCTGCACCTGGTTCTGCTGGGAGACGTGAGCCAGGGCACAGGAACCCCTGGACCCTGTTTCAGCCACTCCCCTGGCCTCCTTCCTCTTAGTAGGAACTGGGCCACCTCCCAGCTCCTGCTCAAGTCCCTTCCCCCTGAAGCCTCCCTCCCTAGACCCTCTGTCCCCAAATCCTGAGTCTGTGAGAGCTGCTGGACTGCACCAGGGGTTGGCAGCTGGGCCCAGTCTCGTCTCTGTGCCCGTGCAAGGACAGTAACTTAAGGCTGTGTTTTCATTTATGTGTCCCCGCCTTTCTCCTCGTGCTAAATAGAGAGGGACCATGTCTCACAGTCTCTGCATCCCCCATGGCACCTGACACAGTGTCTGGATTGGAGAAGGTGCTCCAAAGAGACATTTATAGACAGAGAGGATCAATACTCCTTCCTGACTGCACATCCTCCCCACGTCCCTAGCCTGGGGACACACCACATCCATCAAAGTAGGGGCTCGCATCAGGGACTGACTGCACGTGGGCTGCTTGTACTTTGGCTCCAAGTCCTGCCTAAGCCCCTGGGGACAAGCGGGCGCTCCGGGAATGTAAGCTGTGAATTGCATAACAGGTATCAGGATGACTTCAGCTCTGTGCCCCCTGCCACTTAGAACAGGGCTTGACCAACTTCTTAAAGGGCCAGAGCATAATAATTTTAGGTTTTGTGGACCAAGAGGTACAACCAAGGGTGGTGGTTAGGAATTTCTATAACCATCTAAAATGTAACATTTAAAGATGTAAAAACTGTTCATAGCTTCTGGTTATACAAAGACAGGTGGCAGGTTAGGTTTGGCCCCAGGGCTGTGGTTTGCCACCTCCTGACTTAGAAGATTGAGAACTCTCCCAGGACAGTGTTGAGCTTTCGATCACCTGCGTCCACCCAGCAGAGCTGTGATGAGAAGGTGTCGAAGGTCAGCCCGTTGGGCAAGCCCAGGTCATCCTGCACCAGAATCCTCCGGTTTGTGCCGTCCATGTAGGAAGTTTCAATTTTGGGGCTATCTCTGTTCCAATCTGTCCAATAAAGGTTCCTGGTGGAATAAAAGGTGGGGAAAGAGGAAGCGAAATAATAAAGATGCATGAGAAAAAGCTCATAAAAGACACTTAAGAAGAACCTATGAGAAGAAACTAGCAGACATGAAAGCACAGAACGGCTAAAAAGGATCCCGGGATGACAGAGCACATTTGCTTTTGCAAGGACACTTGGGTTGGGTTCTTGCTTGAATTTCGTTACTCTGTTCTAACACATTCAGTTTCCTTTAATGTAATTGACATATTATCTCTCAATAAAGCTGTTAACATAACAAATCAAAAGGCTTGTAACTGACATAAATGCATGGGAATTCTCCGAATGCTGCCATCTGCAGGAGGACACAACAGACCCAGGGGACCAGACCAGGGCGAGATGCAGATGCTGGAAGAGGTGGTGGTCAAGGTGCCTGCCATCGGGGAGGTGGCCGGGTGGTCACAGTACAAGGGATGTGGTTTCAAAAGGAAGGAATCAAAGTGTCAAGGAGACGAGGGCCTGGCATGTAAGATTTAGAGCTTGCAATAAGGAGAAAGGAGGGAAAGCATTGAAGTGCAAAAGAAACCCAAGGAAGGGGTCTGCAGGGTGTTCAAAACACGTCTGCTCAGGAAGGAGCCCCAGGGGTACATTAAGCCACGCCGATGCTCTTCTGCGGCTGATACAACTTTGGTGTTGATCCATATTCAACCCATCAGGAAAATACCCAATTTCTGAGCTGCCAAGTTACAAAGTGTCTTGGTAAAAGACCTGAGAGTGGAACACAGTATCAAGTCACATTGTAATAAACGTGCTGGCATTTCACCATGGACATTCCACGTCACCCCCTGCAGACTCTTTCCTCCTGTCCGCAGCCGTCTCAGGAGGGCAATGCTGGAGTTGCAGCCTCCCGTCTGAGAAGATCCAGAAGAGCAGATGCAATAGAACAGAGGTCCCCCCACACCCACACAATGGTACCCTCGCACGGAATCCGTCACGATGCCTCTGGGATTCACCAAATCCGTCTCCAGCAGCACCCGGCGCTGCGAGCCATCCAGCTTTGCAACTTCGATCCGATCCAGCAGAGAATCCGTCCAGAAGATGTTGCGGCCAAGGTGGTCCACCGCGATGCCTTCCGGGCTCCCCAGATCTGGAATCAAACACAGAGCTCCTGTGATTTTTTTTTTCTTTCTTTTTTTTTTTTTTTAAAGATGACCGGTAAGGGGATCTTAACCCTTG